TTCCTTTCCTCTCCCCACAACAGACACCCTGTGAGGTAGGTGGGGCTGAGAGAGCTCTCTTGAGAACTGCCCTTGAAAGAACAGCTCTGAGAGAACTTATGACTGACCCAAGGTCACACCAGCAGCTGCATGAGAAGTAGTGGGAATCAAACCCGATTTTTCCGGACTAGAGTCTGCACTCCTAACCACTAAACCAAACTGGCTGTTATTTGTCCCTTGAGGGTACTAGCATGTACTGGCGGCTGCCCATAAGTTTTCTCAGTGAAGCTGAAAAGTACGCAAACGGAGAGTAATTTCAGTAAAGCGTACTTTATTCGATCCGGAACAAGATAACTTTGGCCGGTTCGCAGGCCGGCTTATATTCACCGAGAAACCGCCACCCAAAGCACACCCCCCCACTTCCCAATAGGTTATTTACAGTGGCCGAGAGTCCCATTGGCTCTCGGCCAGGAACCTAGCCTCCTGATTGGAGTGGGCTAGGATCCGCATAGTCCATTGTCTCTTGGAGCGAAGCTCCACGTTTGTCTCTGGACTTGTCTGGACTGGATACATTACAGAAGCAGACAGCAACTCCTGGAGCCCTCATATGCCTGGGAATTTAGTTCCCAGTACAGAACTCCAGGCCCACATCTGATCCAAATTTCTTGTGGTGGCCACATGTCTATGATTGGGACTTTGTAATGTGTGAACTGGCTACAGTGAGAGATGGGTGTGCAAAGAGATCTCTGGGGAAAAGAAAATGTATGAAGGCAGTAGCTTAGTGGTGAGGGACACAGACTTCTGATGATGCAGAGGAAGACTGAGAGTGAAGTGAATGGCCAAGCTCCTTGGAGGAAGGCTAGGGTGAAAATAAAAATCACTAGATAGATAAACAGATAAATAGATATGGGTTGGCTCCAGTTCTTGGAGCTTCCTGGGGGGGAAAAAGGTCTCCCGTGGACCCTCATTGCACATGTATGCAGAGACATGCCCTCGCCTCGTGCTGGTGTCTTGTTTGCACATCTCCATCAGTACCAATTGGTTTTCAGGAAGTGAAGCACCAATCACCTACTAACCCCCCACCACCTGCATGTAATATTTGAGGAAATCTGTTTCAGTGTATGTGGAGAAATGTGCACAGGCTGAGTCTCTGTTCTCCCATGTACCCAGGGTTGAGCTTGGTTTGTCTTGGGGGTGCGGCTGTGCTGTACGTTCACACCTCTTTGTTAGCCCTTGTATTTACAGGCTAATTTGCTGCCATTCATTGACCTTACCAGCCACCTGATCCAATTTCAGCCCTACTGATGCATCTTGACTGTGACTGGTCCTTCCTTACGGCTGCCTTCCCACCCTCTCTTTTGCTGTGAGTGGGCCTTGAGGAGATTTCATTTCATTGTGGCTGAAGAAGTGTGCTTGCCAGGGGTCGTTTCATAGAAAAAGAGCTATGGGAACTCATTAGCATAACTCATTAGCATATGCCACACCCCCTGACATCACCGGAAGTGTGTCATAAGGCCACACCCCCTGACATCACCGGAGGTGTGTCATAAGGCCACATCCCCTGACATCACCGGAGGTGTGTCATAAGGCCACACACCCCGCCCCCAACGGTCCCAGCCACCACCGCTGAATGAGGGCCGGAAGCGGGGCGGCCAGAAGCAGGGGGTGGGGCTTCGTCATGTGCCCCGCCCCCTGTACCTCACCCGGGGGAACTGCGATCCCCCGCGATCCCCCCCAAATGACCTCTGGTGCTTGCACATGAAAGCTTATACTTTGAATAAAACTTTGTTGGTCTTAAAGGTGCCCCTGGACTCAAACTTTGTTCCATCAACAGCTGTTTCTTAGTTCCGTTCCTCGTCACCCTGTCAGCTGGAAATGAAAGAGGGCCCTGCACTATCCAGAAACTTCCAGGGCGGTCTTTCATTTCCATCTGGGAAGAAGGCTAGAGAAGGGTCTGAGTGTGGCCTCTCTGTTGCGTATGAAATGGAATGGAATGAAGGTATTGAGCTTGAACCTGACTAAGGTATTGTAAACCGACCTATCAGAACAAAGGAAGTTCTGGAGGGAAGCAAAGTGATTGGTCTTTATGTGCTGTATTTGATTGGACCTTATCTGACATGTGGGCGTGGCTTGCCAAGCCCGGACTGTTTAAAAAGGCGCCTGTTGCTCCATAGTTTGTCTTGTTCTGGTCCTTCTGACTTCGTGTTCAATAAAGCTGTTATCACTGTTCACCTGCTGCCTCGAGTCTCGTATCTAACAGCCTCAGTTCAAGACTTTGCCTTCCTTCAAGTCCTTTCGTCACTGCATGGGGATTAGAAGAGGGGGAGAGAGCCAGGCTCAGCTGCTTCTGACTCCTGCACCGTTCTTTCTCCCACTTCAAGCTCCATTTGCATGTATTGACAAGGCTTAAAGGAGTGTGTACTTCACACAGCCCCATAGCCAGAAATGTTGGGTTGGTGGGGCATGGGGAAAAATTGTGGGGCAGCAGGGAAAGGGAAGGAGGGAGTGGGGAGGGGCAGCAGCTGTTGTGGGGCATGCCTCCCATTTGAGGGGGCAGAACCCCGAAATGTGGCTATGGGCCTGACTTCATGACTTCCTCCTGAGCATCTTCCAAGCCAGAAATGGAGCACAGGGCCTCTGGGGTGATCTCTTGTTTCTGGCTGGGAGAAGAACCAAGGGGGGAACAAAAGGAGATGCCCTCCTTCAAGCCCTTTCCCTCTCTCTGGTCAGGGGTCAATCGGGAGTCGATGGTGGGCCTTCATGGAGCACTGACACTTGCCCAAATAAATTGCTTTCTCGACACATCCGTTTGGTTTATGGTCACTGAAATTGTCTGAAGCCAACGTGTTCCTATACAAAATGGTGAAACATCACAAGAATGCAAATACTATGCAAGAACATAAGCCTTTTTGAATTAATTGTGGTTTCCCAGTGAGTTCATTGTAGATTTCAAAATGTCCACCAGAAATCCAGATCAGAAGGGCCGGGACGACAATATTTAACCCAAATCCATCATTTCTTCCTAATTTCAGTATAATGTCTAGGACATCTGAAGTCGGTAAGGTACAAGAAGCATGGACAGCAGAGAAGCTGAACCTTTTTTGAAGTCTGCCATGCAGGCATCTATGGAACTTAGCTGCAATTTATATTTGTAGGCAGGGCTCTTCCTTCCTTCCTTCCTTATTTGGTGATAGCGCCGGCCGCAGCACAGAAAGAACACCCACCATCTTACCACCCCCTCTCATAGCTTTGCTTTTACTCTTGCAAGATTAAATGCGGTACCATCTGCAGAATTAAAGGGATGTTTCTCACGAACTCCGTATTCAGACAGGCTTTGTACCTGCGCTTCTGTATACTGAAAACTCATGAACTTTTAAACATTTTTAAAAGAATTTTGTCGAAGAGGTTCTGGAACTCTGTTCCGGCACATTCCCTCAGAAAAGAAAACCCTGCTTGCAGGTCTTGAGAAATGGGCTTTACTTTGCTACACCGACGTTCTGCCCATACACTCAGCCACTCACAGCAGCGTATGTGGGTGTTGTTGTGGTTTCCTATGGAAATACTATCAAGCTCTTGACCTGTTCTTCTTCAGCAGCAAAACTACCATTCAGTGCCCGCCAAAATTCTACTATAGTACTGTCATAGACCACTCTGGGTTAGTGTGAGAGATGAGTCTTCATTGGTGAAGGAGAATCTGCCCTTGAGACCTGCTCTGGCAGGTGTTCCCTGCAAGGCAGATTCCTCAGTGCCTCCATGAAGAGACTCTTCACCAGCACTGACACTGCCCCCAGCCAGCAGGGTCCTCAAGCCAGGAAGCTCCAGCATGGATGTGCCTGCTGCCAGACCCACCACATTCTCTCGCAGGACCCCAGGAGAAGAGAAGGGGAAGAGCTAGGGCTGAGTCCTGGACCAGGGGCAGAGATGTGCACCTGGCAGCCCAAAGCCTCCCTTCTGCTCAAGAAGCACCAGAAGAAACCAATGAGTCACCGCAGGATCTCTGCTATTACAGCTCATCTCCAGACTACAGAGATCGGTTCACCTGGAGAAAATGGCTGCTTCAGAGGGTGGGCTCCATGGCATTGTCCCCTGCTGAGGCCCCTCCCCAAACCCCACCCTCCCCAGGCTCCACCCCCTAAATCTCCAGGTATTTCCCCAGCCAGAGCTGATAACCCTAATCTTTGCCCAACTACTCCTCATGAGTAGAGAAGATGACTCAGCTTGTGAGTTGAGCCTAATCTAGGACCCAGCATTCCCTGTAGAGAAACGCCCTATATAAGCCTGCAGTGAGTCCAGACCCAGTGTGGGATCAACTTTTCTATGATCCAGCAGACTAGCCTACTGGCCGCTTCTTATGTTCATTGATAGCCCTTTGAATCTTTTTTGTCTATGCCCTGGACTTGCTTTTGGACCTTAACCTTGGACTAGGAAAGCTTCTGGCTTCTTCCACTGCTTTGGTAGCATTCATTACACTGATAATGCCGAAGCAACACACTCCTGGTTTATATGCCTAAATGTTAATTATTGATTCGTGTTTGTTCCACATATTGTGACACTCAAACATCCTTTCCGGCTGAAATGAACATATATTCCTTACAGACTTTGACCATAAAAAAAGATGACATACCTGTGGCAGGCGTTTCCTTTCCTCACAGTTGATGCCTCCTATGAAGACCATGTTAGGCATAAGAGGCCGGGGAAACTCAAACACAAAGTCATAGCGCAAAAGCCAGATGGAGCCGTTTCTGTAAAGCGTCGGTAAGTGAATATCTCTCTGCAGGAACTCTGAAGCGATATCTTGGTACTTGTTATAAAGAGTCTTAAAAAGCGAGGTCTCTAAAGAATTTACAACCAGATTAACCACACGTTGGGGGAAAGTCATTCGGTCTGTGTGCCTGGTATAGCATCGTGGGACATAGGAAACAGGGTTCGGAGATTTACAAATGGCATGCTCTAAACTGCACGGGAACCCACGAAAGAAGTACACAGAGGGGATGGAGAGATGTTCGGCCAGGATGACTCCACATGGCAAAGCCGGATCTGTCAACAGCGCATCGAAATGACTTTGTTCCAGGTGTTTTATGACTTCTCTGTTCTTCAGAAGACTGTCGCAGTTGTGGAAAAACAGGTCTATTACATACATGTTGTTTCGGTATTCTTGAAGGATTGTGTAAGGAAAAGGAACCCTACGGAACAAGTTTCTGGCAAACGTCTGAAATCCCTTTTTGAGTTCCTCTTCCGAATATGGCACTGGGTACGTTTTCCTCTCATAATACTCTGATTCTTTCAGGAGCAAATTTGTTTCTGGTGCCACCACCACTATTTCATGTCCTCTCTCATGAAGCTTCTCAGCCACACTACGCATGCTGAGCCAGTGGCTCCCATCTTGAGGAATCACTAGCAGCTTCTCACTTCCGACGAAGCTGAAGGCGGTTAGTAAAAAGAAAAGCCAGCTAGTCAATCTGTTAGGCTGGAGAAGTAGGAAAGTCATCTTCTCTGCTTGGAAAAATGCTATCGATGAAAGGAACCTTTTGCCTGCTTTTTAAGTTCAGGAATGAGAAAGAAATCTAAATGTAAGCCTTCCGTGCTTGTTAATCATTAGTTCACCACAATCTATGGACATTGCATGGCTGAACAGTTCTGTGAGAATGTTTGTTCTGTAAAGGTTGCATCAGGTGAAACAGCAAACACTGAAGGAAGACTAACTACAGTTAGAAGAAGAAGAGTTTTTATACTCTGCTTTTCTCTACCTTAAGGAAGAGGAGGAGAAGAAGAAGAGACTGGATTTATACCCCGCCCTCGGAGTCTCAGAGCGGCTTACAAACTCCTTTCCCTCCCCCTCCCCACAACAGACACCCTGTGAGGTAGGTGGGGCTGAGAGAGCTCTGACAGAAACTGCTCTTTCAAGGACAGCTCTGACAGAATTATGGCTTGCCCAAGGTCACCCAGAAGCTGCAAGTGGAGGGGTGGGGAATCAAACCCGGTTCTACCAGAGTAGAGTCCGCGCAGTCAACCACTACACCAAACTGGCTCTAAGGAGTCTCAAAGCAGCTTACAATCTCCTTATGAGGCCGGTGGGGCTGAGAGAGTTCTGAAAGAATTGTGACTGGCCCAAGTTCACCCAGCAGGCTTCATGTGAAGGAGGATTAGGGAATCAAACAGCTATGCAGTATGAGAGCTAACTGGTGAACTGACTACACACCCTAAGTAGAGCAGTTCATTAAGAGAGGAAACTAATTTGGGGCACAATAAAGAAATAGTAAAGTGAACCAAGTAATTTTTATAACTAACTGAGGTCTGGGTTATATGCTGAGAGAAAAGCCAGTCTTAGATTTAATTCGATCATAACACCAAATCATGGTTAAGGAAGCAGTTTGCAATTAGCTAACAAACTAGACTAACAAACTAGACGAAGACATTTTCCCCAGTATCAAGTTTCCCCCTGAGTGGTTTTCTATTCATGTGTGGCTTTCCCTGGTTTCCGCAGATTATCTCTTCCTCCCTGGCGCAAAAACACAGTTTGCTGTGCAGCATGGGAATTCCTGGAAATGGGGTATTCGGATGCCACACGCCAAGAGGGGGAAAACTGCATTTTTGCGCCCTGGAGGGAGAGATCATCTACGGAAACCAGGGAAAGCCGCAGATGAATAGAAAAGCAGGTGGGGGGAAACTTGACACTGTGGGAAACGTCTAAGAAAACATGATTTGAAATGAATTTTGAAGCAGTGAGCTGGATCCTGCCATTACTTCCATTGGGACGAAGAGAAGGGAGTGCATCAGATTCTCTGTCACAAGTTGTTCTGCAGAGGTGAAGGATATTTTGGAAGCCCAATAACTATCCATTGTTTTTGCCAACTGCCAAATTCTCAGAATGCTGTTGCATCGCACAGAATCAGCCACTGAGTGGCATGACCAATAAAAACAGCTCCATCCCACTTTTACAGGTAAAGTCTACTGCATGTATCCAAACGGTCTCTAGCCACGTCCTTGCAAGGACCTCTCATGCACAGGCTATTTCATACAGAGCTTCTCCCTGGTCCTGGTGACTGATCGAAAGCACTGCCACGGGTCTCTTTATTCATAGGGGATTTCTGGAATCTCATTCTCTTGACCTTGTCATAGTTTGCTGCACCAAGGCCTGGTATGCAGTGGAGCCCATGAGGAAACAGCCCCAGGATGGTGGCACATTGCATCCTGTAGTGGTGGCAGGTCAAGCTGTAGTGGTGGCAGGTCCCTTGCAGGCTACCCAATATGCCTCTTTCATTGGAAAGGACATTTTGGTTGGGGGAAGGGTCCTGCTCCCAGGGGGCATCTGCAGAGGCCCTCAACCTGGGTTCACAGCAGCCCCCTGAAGAGAGTCTGGTCCCATCGATCATGGATGTTGTCTTGCCTTCTCAGGATGCACGTCATCATTGACAGGAAACCTTACGTATGAGGATGGACTTTTAGTTGGCAACACTTGGTGCGCGCACGCACACCCACACTCATACCCTGGCTGGATCCCCATAAGAACCACCAAGCTGTCAGTATTTTGCTGGGGAGGAAGAGCCTCCTGTGGTAAGAAATATTGAAAGATGGAAGTATTTGGGTTTAAAATGAACCAACTAAGTTATGAATTCCATATACAATATCTGGCTCTGCCCTGGCTAGAAAAAGAAAAAAAAACAGGCTTGACCTTTCTTTCACTGAATATGTACTCAACATTACATTCCCAGGCCCAGGGGCGTGTGAGACTTTACAATAAGCAGCTGGCTTGGGAAGTGGCAGAACCCCAATAAAGATGTGTGGCCATTTGGACACCTGGCAAGATAACACTAGCTTCCTGAGAGACAGAGAGTTCACACACATACCCCGCTTTTCATCTCTCTAAACATCAAAGCACAGTTTATTTCCCTGATTGGGGGACACCTGGATGACACTGTATTGATCCCTTTGGACTTTTATTGTGTGAGACCAAGGAAACAATATTTCCTGTAATACAACCTCATCTTTTAGGAAGCAATTTTCAGATAGGCAATTTCCACTTCCATGCTAATCAACACCTGATATGATCATCAAAAAGAACTCCTCCTTTGATGTTGGGTTTAAAATACTGGTCCAGAGCCCACAGACGGCAGCTGAATCCGAAAAGGATTCAGTTAGAGAGTGCCTCTCGACGCGCATGCATGGGGTGGAAAAAACTTTGTTTTGCATGTTTATTTTTCTATGTGTATGTTTAGGAACTAGGACTCTGAATGTTTTGCTATAATAAAGATAAGTTTTATTTTAAGAAGAGACTAGTGAATTCCAAGCTTGCACTTCTGCCT